AATTTTATATTTAATAAGAAAAAATTATTGAGAATCTTATCAATGTATCTTTAATTCAGCTATTGGAAGAGATTGCTATGTAGGGTATTGCTTTTCTTTCAATAAGACATGAAATCTGAACAGTCTATTCTTAGTGTGATTATATTTTTCTATGAGCGTAAAAATCTTACTCATTTTATTACATAATAAATTGAATTTTTGGGTAAATTTTTGAAGAGAATATCTAGACAGAACAAAATGGGAAACTGAAGCAATAGTTCAAATAAGAAACTACTTTGATCTCAAATATGTAAATATGTATGTTTTTCAGAATAGATGTTTAGATCCAATTATCTAGGAAATGGCCTCAAATCTACATTTCAATTTCAATTCTCAAAATAGAACATTAACCCATCTTAGAAGATTTTGGAATTAATGAAGTGAGTACTACTCTGGACTTCAGTCAGAGTAACTGGGCTGAGCAGATTAATGAGGTGAAAGGGACAAGAATTTTGGAGTGGTATGACCTTGTTTTCATAATATTTACAGTTTAGAAAGAGAATGCTTTGCAATGCATGTTTGAATCTTCAATAGTTAAGAAATACAAATAAATTTAAAGCTAAAATTCTAAAGGTCCTGTTTTGAGAGATTTGGGATCTTCTAACAAACAAATAAGCTTTAAGGAATTTGAAGAATCTAAAATGTCCAGAAATTTCTAATGAGTTGTGATTTTTCAGAGAATGTGATGTATAAAATATGTAAGGACACATAATCAAAAGCCAGTTCAGAAGGGAGACACAAGCAGGAAAGCAGTGTTTTAGGAACACTAAAGCCAAGAATAAGTGGAGGTGTGTTTGTCGAAAATAATGCTAAAGAGGGGCACCTGGGTGGCTCAGTGGGTTAAAGCCTCTGCCTTCAGCTCAGGTCATGATCCCAGCGTCCTGGGATCAAGCCCCACATCGGGCTCTCTTCTTGGCAGGGAGCCTGCTTCCTCCTCTCTCTCTCTCTGCCTGCCTCTCTGCCTCCTTGTGATCTCTGTCTATCAAATAAATAAACATTTAAAAAAAATTCTAAAAAAAAAATAATAATAATGCTAAAGATACAGACACCTCTCCTTCTCCTTTTTTCCTCTTTTCTCTTGCTCTTGCAAACACACACACACATACACAAATACACATATATTCAAATATATACACATACAGTAATATCTACATGTATATACACATATGTCTATGTATACATATAGGTATACTCACACACACACACAGATCTATCTAGACATAGATACACACACCCATATATGCAATGATACAATAATTTTGGAACATTCAAAAACAAAAAGTTAAAAGCAAACAAAAGACAAAGAGCAAGAACTAACCAAATTACATTTTGTTACAACCTTCTTCCTTCCAAGAATAATACTGAAATTAACAGAGAAAAAATTCAAAGTAGAAATCTAAATAATGAAACTCAAGGTAGACAAGGAGAAAGGAAGCCTGTTTTCTAGTTTGAACATCACAGCCCAGGTAATTTATAGGCTAGTGCACTGATAACTTTTGCTAGTAATGGAAGGAAATAAACAAATGAATAGAAACGTGGTAATGAAAAAAGAAAGACTCAGCAAACCCCAGTTCTGTGAGCTTACTGGTGATTCTGGGCAAAATTTTAGAAATTACAAAAAGCCTTTCTTAATTTTTCAAAATAAATGGGTTTAGATTTCTTAAATAGAAATCACTAATATTTACAATGGGAATATTAGGAATAACTGTTACAAATTTTGAATGAGGTTTCTAAAGTAATAGAATGACAGGAATACAATAGATCTTGATATTTAGGAAGGCATTTACATAGGCCTACATGACATTCTTCAGCAACATAAATATAAAAATGTGCTCTGGATGACATTTTTAGTGGATAATGAAGTTGATGATATTGCTCAGGATGAAGGCCTCTAGTAGTGTTTTGAAGGGCCATGTCCTTTTTTTAACATATATAACATGGCTAAAAAAAGAAGAAACATTTATTTCTTAATTGATTACTTTGTTATCTTCTTTTCAGCTCTAACAGCCTACAAGCTAAAATAATTTAAACTTCACAGATGAAGGGACTAAGATTCAAGAAGGTTAAATGACTTTCCTCATATCAGGAGGTCAGTAATTACAGAACTGGGTTTCAAACTCAGGGGTTCATGACCCTTCAACTGTATTTCCTGAGAGGACAAAAGGCACACATACCAAATCTGTGGTACCAGAAAGCTGGGGAGTTATGTTAAAACACTTAATGATGGAATCAAAAGCTGGAAGTAGGGAGTCATCAGTCAAAAGAAACAATGAAATTCTCTGGAAATTAATACTAAATTTTACAAGAAACCTTCAAGAAATCCATTGAACATTCACCAAATGGCAAATCAGGTTTTATCAAGAGATCAAGAAATAAATGTCATGAAATTTGAGTGTGAGCTTTATTAGTAGTATGGTGATAAAAATAAATGTAATCTTAAACAGTATTAACGGAAATACTGATGAGGTAAAGAAAGAGGATCACACTGTTATCTTCAGATGCTGGATGACACCAAGAGTAGAGTTCTCCAGGATAATCCTGGGTGTCATGTTCTAATGGACATGTTGACAAACTGGAAAATATTGAGTGACGTTTGCCATATAGACATTTAGAATAGCAAGTGTTTTCCCTACCATACCTTGTAATTTGTAAATATTTGTTTCACTTGGGTGTCATTATTATACAGCATAGTTTTTCTATGATAGCTTTATAAAAATTCCCAGAGAATAATTGTTCAGTAAGAAATGGAATGTTCTAGTCTCATAAGTGTAGCTGTATGAGAAAAGTAGTTCTAAATGATGTTTGGTTTTTAAATTATATTTTTATATGTGGAAAATATCTATCTTATAAAAGTTATTTTTTTGATGATAATGCAACAGTGCTTATATTAACACTTTTAATGTATTTTTATATCCAGACACATTATTGCTGCTATAACGTGTATTTTCCAAAAATGTATAATTTCCATGTTTTTATTGTGCTTTCATGAATGCTTTTCTTTGATGTTTATAAATGCTGAAAAGGCTCCCTTCAAGGAGAAGAAATTTAAATGTAAATAAGCTTTTTCGTCAGTTTAAAGTAACAAATTTGACATTATTTAAGGTACATATCATATTTTGTGCTTGAACTCTATCAGCATCTTATTCAGGTAAAAATTAAAAAACTCAACTTTTGTATTACATTCCAGTGTTTTTCAGTGGATATTTGTAACAAAGAAAATAATATATATATATTTTAAAAACTTACTGCAAAGAGACATTGATGAGACATAATGCTTAATAATAGATTGAATGTAATTAAACCTAATAACTGTCTTTTTGCTTTATACCTCTGAGACAAGATTATAGTAGCCATATTCAGAATTTTTAAATACAGGAAATGCAACACTGACTCATATAAAGAATGATTGGTCAGATTATCTTTTATAAAGAGAAAGGTTATCTGCCCCCTTTTTCTCCAATGGAGAAGCTTTGTTTGTCAAAGTCTTTCCTTAAAAAGTTGACCTCCACTCAATCTATAAAGAAAACATAAATAAATCCTTGGGTGACTGACCAACTTATTCAAACCTGCTTTCCTAATGAAAAGATCAAGTTTAAAGTAAAATGCAACTCCTTAAAATCACTTTGCATTTATAATTCTCTAGCAAACGTTCAGTATCATTGTTACCCTCAGCAATATTTCTGGAAGCATTTTCCACAAGCTGATGTCAATGGCTGGTCTTTGGAAACACTCTCAGAACCTATGCTGACTCTATGAAGTTTACAGTCACTTCATGGAGTCTGCCTGAGTCTTGAAATTATATATCTTTGTTGGTTACCTTTTGTCATTAAAAGTACAGAAAAAAGATTATTTATAATTTCTGAGATATATTATATTATGCAACTAGCCAGTTAATGAAAGAGGATGAGAAAAGCCAAGAAAATAGAATGTCTTTAAACATCTGGCAAAACCCCTCCAAATCAATGCAAAAATTGTAGTTTAGTGGCAGTGTTCATTTTTTATGACTTTAAGACTTATTTGTGCAACAAAATATTAATATTTATAGATTCATATTTTGTCTTTATTATACAATAGCATTTGGATGCAAAGGAAATACACAGTAGCTATTGTATCAATAAAAATAATTTCCAAATTTTTATGAGTTTCTAATTTAATCAATTTGGATAGCATGAATAAATACTTTCCAATCTATAGGAACATATGCATTTGAACCTTTCCATAAACATGCATGAAGTACTTTTCATATCGTCATAGTCAACCCTTTCATCTCTGCTGTAAAAGATAGAAAGGATCAGATAAGCTCAGGGCATTCTGGACAACCAATGTCTTTAGGATGCACTAAGGTGTCCAGAAATGCTTTAATAGGACACGTGGTTTAGGCACAATTGTCCAGTTCCTTTTAGTAAAAGTTAGTCAAGTTTACTCACCATGTGGGTGCATATACAAGAGTATCATTTCAGACACTTTAGACTTACTCCACAGAATGATAATATGACTTACGGAAGAATCATACTAGCCATTTCAAGATAGCATAATTTACTATATGAGACTTAGGTAGAGGTGAACAGAAAGCATCATTTATGTGAGGAGTAATCTCTACGTAAGGGAAAGGGTGCTATCTGGATATCAGAACATCTGATCACTCACTTTGGCTTTACTAGGAACTAGCTCTGAATATAGAAAAGTCAACTGATTTCTATGTTTCCTACTTTTCTCCTTTACAAGATGTCCATTTAAACTTCAAAAAAAGTATATGATAGATTACAATTTCAATTATATGAATTTTAATACAAAACATATAAAATCAATTTCAAAAATTTTCTTCATTTACTGAAAATGTTTGTAAGAATGAACTAAATATAGGCCTTCTCTAATTTCTTCTATTAAATGTAGGTACCCAATATAACTTGAAAATATTGAGCATAACTATTCTTTTTGCAAAAGGGAATCTAGAAAAAGACTGCTTCCCACAGAAAATTTATTAACAATAGGTGCTCAGTTAAGTGTTTCTATACAATGAACAATGCCCCTTTTTGTATAAATGATCAGGGGAGAAATATTTTAAGTCATTTTTTTTTCTTTCCATCACTCCACCTATGCACAAAATTCTGTTGTAAAGACATCACTTCTATGAGGAGGTATTCATTGTAGATGTACAGAAGTCTATGAAAATCTATGTTTACAATAAAAAAAAAAGATTATCATTCTAACCAACTGCATATTCACATAGATGCTTAATAAAAGCTATCTGATGATATAATGAATGTTTTAATTCTTGAGGAAGTGCGTACAGTTGGCAACTGTTTTTCAAGACTCTCCATCCAGCAAACTAAATTTTCTCACTTTAAATCTTTCATGTCGTATTTTTGACATTTAATTAAAATTTTGGAACTAACATCAACACATTAAAAATATAAATAAAAGTAGCATTAACCATAAACTTTAGGAGTTAAAATAAATACAAGTGGATTAGAATAAAATTATGTTGACAATATGAGAATCAAAACTGCCAAAATGATTAGACTTTTCCTTGAAAATATCCCATCCATTGCTTTCCCTCCAGCAAACAATAGCAAAAGGGAAGGTAGCAAAAAAGGAACAGGAAAGCCTGCTTCGATAGCTGGACATATCGATTTAATTGGTTAAAAAGTCCAAATGCTAATGCTCCTAATAATCAGCCATTCTTTTTGTGTTTTGGTAACATATATCCTTATACAATTTATGTCAAATGGAATTTTTTGATTCACCTCTGACATTTCAAAGTTTCCATTCTTGAATTCCCCTAGTCTTAGGTAAGTAACACAGTGTCTACTTTGTTTGAAATCTACAACATTTTCTCCAACATCTAGGGCTCCATGCTGTAAAATGTCATTTTGCCGATCTTCTGTTCCAGTACTCACTTTAATTTTTTTAATTAAAATTGGATTCTCAAATATAATCACAAAGACATCTCCTACTGAAGGTGGTTTCCCCCAAAAGTACTCATCAACACTACTATAAGCCTTGCTTGCTTCATAATTTTCGAAAACATTCATATTGGTGTAGAGATTTGCAGGAGGGTTATCAGGGATGTCAAATGACTCTTCTTCAAAATCATCATCCTTCAGCTTATTCTCAGTCCCTTTATATGATGAATAATAACCCATGTGCTGAAAGAGAGATGGTTTAAAACGGATCACATTTTTCTGAGCTAAAAGACCCCGAAAATGAGTCAATAGCCAATCACAAGGCATTTCTTGATAAAACATTAATAAAAAGTGTGCCAAACGTGGGAGATCATGAGAATGATAAAGTTTTCCGATGTAGCCAAGCTTAGAGAACTCCAGAGTTACCCAGTAGGTTCCTTCTAGGGATGTAATGACTTTCTTGATGGCAGTTAAGAAATTTTTTGAACATCGAACATCATCTTCAAGCATTACATAATAGTCTGAAGTATTGGCACAAAAATTAAGCAGAAAAGCATAATCTACATTTTGCTTAGAACGAAATCTGACTCTGTCTTCTGGATCATTGTAATTTCTCTTAAGGCCATCCAGGATTGGGTAATATTCCTCTGGAGCATGTATAACTATTAATCTTCCTGCAATAATATGGTGGGCAAATTTCTGTGTAATATCCTGGACCATGACATCACGCCAGGATGAATTAAAGTCTGCCAGGTGAACCACCACTGAAATTTCCTTCAGCTCTTCGTAGCTGGATTGCTCAAAAATTGACTTGATCGTCTCAAGTAAATAGTTTCCTTTTTTTCGTTTCACTGATGAAAGTCCAATTGTAAGAAACCCTGAACAAAAGAATTCAGAAAGAAGACAAATTAAATGTGAAATAGGTTTTGAATAACATATAAAAAAATCTTTTCCCCTTGGGTTTGCTATGATATTAGGTATATCTAGTAAATGATATATGTCGCATATTTTGTGAGTGAAGTCTTATGCTAAATATATAAAGGCTATAGTACTTAATACATAATTGGTTTTTCTTTGGAAAAAAATTCATCTTAAGCCCAATGACATATGAGCCTTATTGATGTAAACATTTGTTTGTGAAATAAAAAATATTATTTAAGGTGTTTTGCAGCTTAATGTGCTCATAAATGCCCATTAGAGAAGATAGATGTTTGGGTAATATCCACACTATTAAAAAATGCAAAAGGAGAAGGATGTTAAGGCTGAACAAATCAGTCTCAAATGATAAAAAAGAAAATTAAGCATAACTCAGTCTTTTAATCATCTTTAAATTTTTCATAGAAAACATGTTACATTTTCATTTCTTTTTGATCACTGTCATTATCTTGCACTAAAAAATTAATAATTGGATTTCACAATTTTATTTTGAAATTTACTAGAATGTTAATTAGAATGCAAACAAAATTATAAACTATTTTTAAAGACTGCATTATTATTTGAATGTTAAGTACATTTTCCAATACATAAATATCACTGTTTTCCTTATTTTGAAACACATTTTAGAGCAATTTTCTGTGAGGAAATTTTTATTTAGACACCTAAAATCTAAAATTAGAAACTGGATATTTGTAAGGAAGAAAATAAAGCCTTATGAAATGGCAGTTTACATCTAAGAAGTGTAAATGTCTCTTCCTTGAAATATTTTCACTTTATAAAGCTCTGATTCTCACCATGATTCAGAACTGAATAAAATTTCCTAACTACTACTTGAAAATAGGAAAATGTTTACATTTACCAAGATCACTGTCTTAATACAGACACCTACTTGTTGTGACTTATGCAATACTGAAAAAGCCCTTTCCAAGAATAATCTTTCTCACTAGGCTGTCAGAGAGGTAGAGATTTACACATTTTGTTCAAATACCTGGATTTACAACCCTAACTTCTTTTGAAAAAATGAATGTTCTCTGGTACCATTCGACTCAAGATTCCAGCCTTTACTAATGCCCTAGAATAGCCAATACCATGAGAATACTTCCTACATGAAAGACAGCAATCTATGCATTTTGCCTGTAATATGTATCTTGAATATTTCTAACCGTCTTTTGGGATAGTTTTGCACTTGTCATCGTTTCTGCTTGGCAGATGAGGAAAGGAAACTCAATCACAGGGAGATGCATTCACTCGTGCAAAGTGTAACACCCAGTGAGTAGTGTGGAGCCAACATCCAGAGTGCCCTACGTTTACCCTGTGTTTTATATCACTTCTTTGTATAAAGCAGTGGCATATGTGCCAATACACTTTAGTAAACTTAGGATGGAAAGGGAGAATCAGTAATGTTTGCACAAAGGTAGTGTAACAGATGGAGATAAAAATAAACATTGGCAATCTTAAGCAGTTAGAAGAAAGCTTAAGAGCAATAGACATTTGAGATGAAGGAATGAATGGGAGATAGACCTAAAGAAGCCCGAATTAAGTTGTTACAATTTCCTCCACCTGGTGATCACAGACTCACTTGTATAAACACTTCTTAATGGGGAAGTCAATTTCTGTGGTCCCCACAGACCTATTAAGAAATTCATGATATCACTGGGTTTCATTGATTTCATGAATCATATTTTTCACACAAAAACATTTTAAAATCAGGTTGAATATTACAATTAATGGCATCTTACAATTAAAACTGATAATGCTTATGGTCTCTTAGTGGCACATTAATTAGATCATGATACCTTCTACAGTCTATGATGTCTTGAAATCCATTAAGTGTGTGTATGTTACTTCTCAGATCCAATCTACTGATAGTGAGTTGACTAGTTTTCTCCAAAAATTGAGGTCTACCTGGAACCTCAGAATGTGACCTTATTTGAAAATAAAGTCTTTGCAGATATAATTATTTAAGGATCTTGAGATAAATCATATTGAATTTAGAGTGGGCCCCAAATGCAATGACTGGTCATACCTGAAGAAGAGGAGAGAACACAGAGAGACACAGAGACCAAGGGAAGAAGACCCTTTGGTAACGGAGGCTGGTAGTTATGCCCCCACAAACTAAGGAATGCCAAGGGTGACCAAAAGCTGAAAGAGTCGAGGAAAGATTCTCCCCTATAACTTTCAGGTGAGTGGCTCTGCCAGCACCTTGATTTTGAACGTCTGGTCTCCAGAAATATGACAGAATAAATATCCATTGTTTTAAACTACCTAGTTTGTGGTAATTGGTTATAGCACCTTGGTAAACTAAAACAATGACTCTCACTACTTCAAAAGCAGTGGCAAGTCATTAAAAACCAAAGCATTAGAGTTGGAAATTGTATCGGTATGAGAATGGTTGTTTTTAAAAGGGAAGTTTTAAAAGCTCAAATAAATTAATTTTTTTCAGTCTCTCTACATGGTCCTACAGCAAACTGTTTGAAAGTTTATATTACAATTAAGCATTTTAAAAAGCTTCCTTTTTTTGGCTATTAATGGAGTTGGATCAGTAATTGTAATTTGTGAAGAAACACTGAATTACTTCCCAAAGAATATATATTAGTAATGCCCAGAAGTTTTATTGCGATACAGATGAAGCTGGTTGTCATTATTTTAAAATAAAAGTACTTTATGTGTTCTTGATTTGAAAGTGTAGGGATACTTACGCTTTCTTTGTAAAGGCGTGGCAGCTAAGTAGCGATAGGTGACATTGATGGCTCCTGAGAAATTAGATAAATCTTTGAAAGTATGGACATAACGTTCTGAATTCAGCTGGTGTGTGGATGTTTCCCTTATAAGTTGTTTGTCTCCTTCCTGAATGCCAAGAAGGAGGCAGAGAAAATAAACAAATAATAGATGTCATGATTAAATAAAAATTCTCCTTACACAACAAACATATGTTGTTGATATGTAACATGGGTATTATCTAAATCTCAACTACTGGTGCCACAAGCTACAGGACCCCATCTCTCACCTGAATTTCCACCTATAGTCGCTACTCCATGCTCTCCTACTCTATTGTGCTCTTCATACTTCTCTTCCATTTGCTTTTCCACTATATACACTAATAATGGCATTTTCTAGACAAAAAATTCCCACATGAAAACTCCTACTGCCTTTATGTTAAAATTCAAAATCTTTACAATAATTCAATGAGCTTAAAATTTCACAATAATCTACTTGTATCATGTAAAGCTAATTCTCACTAAGTTTCCCATATTTGAGTCATATTAAGCTATTTCATTTTCTTTAAGCATTGTTCAATAATACCAGACATTATTTCTATATAATTATTTCTGGGGAATTTATTAATCAAGAAGTTTTAGTCAGTCACTTATCAATGGCCACTATAATCAAGGACTGTTGAGAATAGATAGCTGTGGTCCTTGTGATGTCAGTGTTCTTTCAACTGTCCTCAAGATATCTTCATACACATTTGTACCAAGTTAAGGAAATGTCTTCAGAACTTGCACTAGTTTTTCCCATGATTGTTTGCTTGGTGTGTGTGTGTGTGTGTGTGTGTGTGTGTACATGTGCATGCATGCATGCATACGTGTGTGTTTGTGTGTGATATTCTGTTGGAGTTGAAGTCTGGTCCTTTTATGTTTATGATCACTCTTATATTAATTGGTAATGGATGTATTCGATCTTTAAGAAGGTTTATGCTGAGTGAAATAAGTCAAGCAGAGAGAGTCAGGTATCATATGGTTTCACTTACTTGTGGAGCATAGGAATAACACAGAGGACATTGGGAGATGGAGAGGAGAAGTGAGATGGGGGAAATCAGAGGGGGATTCAAACCATGAGAGACTGTGGACTCTGAGAAACATACTGAGGGTTTTGGAGGGGAGGGATTGGGGGAGTTGGGTGAGCCTGGTGGTGGGTATTATGGAGGACACGCATTGCATAGAGCACTGGGTGTGGTGCATGAACAATGAATTTTGGAACATCGAAAAAAATTAAATTAAAAAAAGTGAAGGTTTATATTAAAAAGATTTATATTTAGCTTAAAATATATCCTGTTAATTATTAATTGGTCTCCTTTTCTCTCTTCTTTAGTATAAGTTCAATAGTAGATTTTGATTATCTAATCATGATTTGATCAAGTCTTTATTGGTTATACATTATTACCAAAATATCGACTTGCTTGGTCTTTGTATAAGGTTTACTACCACAGGTAGAATATATTCAAAGATAACCTATTTAGAAAGAATTTTGTTGTTTTTGGCAAGTGTCTACTGTACCGTGTGATGTTATATGGATCTATATCCACTATTCCATATACAATGGCAGGTCAGGCATGTGCAAGCAGTTAAGACTATAAAGAAAGTAAATGCAATTTGAACCAATTTGGTCCTCATATTATCTGACTGTAGTCAATAAAACATTAATTAAACCCCTGTTATAAAAAATTATAAAGGATTCAAATACAGACCTTACCTCATTTGGAATATCCAATACTTTGTATCATGTTCAAATGTCAATAGAGAAAAAGACTGACTCAAAACTTTAAATCAATGGCCAGACTGGAATTGTCTTACAATAAAAATTAAGAATAGTAAATCATGACTGGGAAGAGCTTCAATCTGGTCTTTGCTAACCAAAATCCTTTCTGAATATCTCTTTTGTATATTCAATTATGTTTATAAACCTATAATTGGTCTTTACTATATTTCTACATTTTATATTGTCTTAATTGAGAAAAAGAGGTTAGTGTTTTACAATATTTATAACATATTTGCCATCTATCAGTTGTAGACTTTCAAAATATTTGGAATTATATCTTGAATTCTCTACTTCTTATAAATATACTAATTGCATATCTATTGAGTTCTGATTATTGTAATTTCTTTACACATAAATATGTTCATCTTTGTCTTTCTGAAAACTTATAAAACATTATTAGAGTTTTAAAATAAATTTAGGACTACTAAAAAGTAACTAAGGCCTCAGCTCAGTACCAACTTCTTTAATAGTGATGTAATAGGGTCCATTATCAATAGGATCTAGAAGAAATATCTATAAAAATCGCAGTAGTCACAATTCTGAGTTCATTTTGCCATTCTGCTCTTATGTGATGTTACATTCTAAAGGAAGTGCAGGATCTTGGATATTTCTTTAAGAATTCTATTTTGAATGTGTAAAAATCCAGACCTTTTCTGTGTTAAGATAGAGTACATTCATCCTGATTGAAGGACATAACAGAAAATAAAATGAAATGGAACTTATATGAAAGCACTTTATTAAATTCTCAAGAACAAGCTTCTTTACACTTTTCAGCATAAATAAATAATGCAGCTTTCACCTGAGTCAGCCTTGTTGGCTGCTTTCCAGAGGCATCTACCTGAACAGTTAGGCTCTCCCTGGATACCTTCTTTCTGTAGCTGCTATGCTGGGGTGTATTTCTCAGTAATAAGACAAAGCTTTATGACAATCATTTTCTGGATAGGAATGCAATTCAATGGACTAGCTGCAGACTAAGTGTATACCCTTGTGGCTACTTTGAAGATGCTCACAGCCCAGAGGCTAAGTTGATTGGGCATGTAGCGTCTCTCCTACTTAGTTTGCCTTGTAATAGCATTTGTCTCTTACACTGAGCTTGGCTTCCTTTCCCAATAAAAGGCACATATGTCCCGGATATGTAAGCATACATTAAACTGCTATATGCCAAGGATTTCAGACCACAAATGGATTTTCTAGCAAAAACAGCAGAACAGAATGTGCTAAGTAACTCCAGAGATCTTTTACTTGGAATTGTTTATCTGATTTCTCTGAATTATAACAGTTATTTCCCCCTGAAATAAGGAAGGCAGGAAAAGAAAGATCAACTAATGTTTATGTTTTAGCAATAGTACACATTGTGGCATTCTGGAGTCAAGAAAAAAAAAACTAAATGATATAATTTTGTGAAAACTGAAATAAACACAGATAAAAGGGTCAAAAGAGACAAAGGTTACAGAGAAGCTACATTATACACTAGTAGGTGGCTGGCTTTCCGTGGCTATTAAACATTTTTAGAAAAACAATTTTAATGCAGTTTTACATTAATTACTTAAATGTTTTAAGTCTTTATACACATTAAGCCTTGGGATAAAATTTAGCTCTAAATACATTTAGGTTAAAAATAATCATCTAGTAAATAGTGAGGAAACTAAACTAATAAAAATACTGTCATGAAATTTTCAGTAAGGAGGGGTACCTGGGTGGCTCAGTGAGTTAAGCCTCTGCTTTTGGCTCAGGTCATGATCTCAGGGTCCTGGGATCAGCCCTCATCGGGCTCTCTGTTCAGCAGGGAGCCTGCTTCCCTCCCCCCTCTCTCTCTGCCCAACTCTCTCCCTACTTGTGATCTCTCTCTGTCAAATAAATAAATAAAATATTTTAAAAAATAAATTTTCAGTAAGGGGAGTGATTGTGTTTAACCATCATTTTAACTCATTTTTTCCAACTTAATATAAGTATTTAAAATAATTATAAATTTTAAAACAAAGGAGCAAAATCTCCTCTACTCTTGGGCTGATTTGTAAATTTGGCTAAATATATATGTAATCTAGCCAGAGAACATTTCACTAAGAAAGTACTCTTTATTAAGCATTGCTTCATTAAATCACACCTTTTACATTAGATACATAGGACTGAAGCTTGGATAGAAATGTGCAAAAATCCACAAGACATGGCAAAAATATCTGATCCTCTTACAGATATACACTCTATTACTTTTTATACATTTTATAATGAATTTGAAGAGGTTCTATATCAACAAGATATAAGGATGTTTGCTGCATACGATGGTCTTTTGTCTGTTTAAAATGAAACACTGAAATTGGGTTTAAAAGTGTCTCACAAATGCAGCAAGTCATTGAATACAATAAACATCCTGCCAATGCCATGTGTTTGGTTTACAAGATGTGATTTACTGCTGCCAGTAAACACAAATGCAAGAGATAAATTTTTATTACAAAATTAAATCATTTATCAAAGGCTCTCCTTATTAATTTATGACCTTTAATTTCATCCAGAAAAAAATAGGGGGATCACATGGGCCTTGTTATATTGTCATTAAGTCTCATAAACCTAATAACCAGGTTTAAAGAAAGGTCAAAGTGCATGCCATTAGTAAGTTTCTCCAGTTTGCTATGTTTGCCTACATCATGCCTAGTCAAATTCTACTCATCTGTGGAGATTTTAGCCATTGTGAATTGTCTATGGAAAACAGAATGAAGGAACCACAAGATCAAGAAACATGTATGAATGTAAAAGGCATAGGCATAGTCAAGATCTAGAATCTGGCAGAATTTTGTCATCAAAGAACAATGCTAACAGAAGCAAGATGCTTTACAGAAGACCTCCTGAGAGGATCTGTCCCAACTAAGATCAAACGGTTGGCTTATCGTTATAGAATAGTACATGGCAAATAATGTGTAGGTAAGATCATGTTCAATTAGTGAAATAAAACATTTTACTGAGAAATGCTTTTTGTGGTTTTTGGCAGATTTTTCTCTTGCTAAGATAGTCATTGAAACTTTCAGCATGCTTGCATGGTGGAAAGTACTTTTCAGTCCTCTCTGTGTCCAAAGATTTTGATTTTCTGAAATATGTGAACAAGAGTAATAACATAAAGATTGGGATTTTTCCAGATATCTTAAACTCAATTCAAAGTTGAATTAAAAAAAATGTCCATGTTATTCTCATCAGACATGAACTAGTGTGATACAGTGATAGCAAATAAAGAACAAATTGAGTTCTCAAAATTAGCCAGAGTAAGTCCTTTTGTGTGTTTCTAGAATTTACTTAAAAATTCATTTGCATATTACATACTAATTTATCCTTTTTAAACTACTGAATAGTTTTCACATCATTATCTCTAGTTCTTGAGGTTCTTTACTACTTTTCACTGAATATAAATACATAACATGGTGACCATTTATGACTATTCAAAATCAAGTGAAGTGTCATACATTATAATAAAATATTATTTCTTAACAAAATAGCATAATTAGTACCATTAATTAAAAAAATAAGATTTTAAAAACTTTGATGATATATAAAAAATTGAGAAAGTAAGGACTGATATCTTTAAGCAATTTTTAAAAATTCTACATATTTCAAATTAAAGCTCAAAAATTATTATGGCTATACATAAAATTAATTCAGCATAGTGATGATAGCTAATTTACTTATAGCCAAATATGCATCCCTGAGCTACTATATGCAGCATTAAAGAAAATATTGCAACATAAATCAAAATAATTGTAATGCTGGTATTCTAGAATTAATACAAAAAGTAGCTAGATAGAAAGTATACATGTTAGAGTTTTGCTCAAACTAAGACTATTTCAGCAGCCTGGGATTGAAGTTTGGTTAAAATTGGATTAAGCTTAATTTGATTTAGACCTTATTTGTAACAGCAACAACAAAAATAATCCCCAAAACTTACCAGAACATAGCTGTCTTCAATGTACAAGTTCATAAAGAGAAGGAAAATGACAAGAACTCCCAAGAATGATACTGTGGAACGTTTTCGCAGGCATCTCATTTTATCAAGTATTTCAAAAATGTGCTTCATTTGATTAAATTTAAACATTCTATCCTGGGGAAAAGGGGCACAGAATTACTGACAATTAACTTTGGATGTAAGTATTTCTTCATAGGTATCAGAAGCCAGGCCTTTATAACAAGTCACCCTTCACCTGTTTACTAAAGTTGTTTCCAATTTCACACATATGATTTTCACAGATTATTAATATCTTAACATACGATCAATGTACTGCTTTATATTGATATGGAGTAAATAAAAATAAAAAGCAAAATCTTAGTTTTTTCTGAACAAATGAACATTGACAATGATAATGCCAAAAAAAAAAAAAAAGTCCTTTGATGAGAAACAGCACAAAAATAAGAGAGAAAGACAAACATTATGGTAACTTCTACCTCCTCATACTACAATGTAATGAAAATGGAAGAAACTAGAAGCTTGGGCCTAATATTGGTCTTGGAGTAAGTGCACTGAAAAAAGCACCTGGGAGGGAACCTGGGTCAAAGAAAGAGAAGTTAAACTTTTGGGCTAAGTCCAAACATACCTTTGAGAACTTGAGTTACAGTTGGTTTGGTTACTTTTCAGTAATTCTTGTTAAATCAGAGTAATCCTAGAATGACATATCTACATGGCCTTGCTTGATCTACTAACTAGAAGTTTGGCTGGTTAAAATAATTCATGAATTGCAAAATAGCAAAATGAGCATCAGCAAGATTAGTGGAGATCTATTTTTTTCCCATTCTACTCTTCTACATTGTGTGTTATCTTCTAATCATTGATTTATTTAGATTACTCATCTTTTGTTTAAAAACTATAAACATAAAAACATATAAAAAATCAAAAGACTAGTTGAATCATATTTTGTCCAAAATCAAGGATAATCTGGAAACTGTACCACGTCTAGCTGGGTACTGGGTCTCCCTGAGCTCAGTGTTAGGATGAAGTATTTATATGAATAAAAAACTTCAGGAAGTGAAAATGGCTTCTTAAATGATGTCTAGGACATAGCAATCAAACAATGTCTCTTTGCAAGAAAGAATTTATGAATCCTTATAAATTATAAGAAAGACTATTAGAAATTGGGGAAAAGGGTTAACAAAGGGGAAGAATAGAAAAATTCTCAAAGAAAATATAAGAATTACTGTTCATTTCCTTTAACCATATTTTTCTCTAAGGTTATTTTTATTTTTCTTGTTGGCTTGTAGAAGTTTTTAAATATGTGTAGAGATGCACACATATACATTTATCTTTGCTTATGATGAAAATATTTAGGTATGTTCCCCAAGTATTATATCTTTTATTGGGTTTGGCCAACCCTGAGGTGGAGAATGAAATGATTATTCCAGTCACCTCAGTAGGAGAAAGGAGAGGGCGTGGGGACAAGACACACTAGGGGCAAAATGTCCCAAGCTAAACTCCCTACACTTTTATTGTGAATGTTGTCAGTACATCAGGGAATAAGAAAAACAAGAAGGAATGTGAAGCTATAATAATCAGGACAGTAGCATAGGGAGTAACCTCAGAACAAGCTGTGATCCTGACGTGTGCTCAGGCAAGAAGTGTGTGGAGTACTGACCAGAGAAGATAAATGTTTCTGAAGTTTAAGCATTTACTCCCTGGATGAGCGAACTGAGCAGCAAAAAGGATCTGGCTGTTTTCAGCCCAGAAACGGCAAAGGAGGCCCAGTTTTCCAGACACTCCTTCGCTTTTCAACTAGTTTCACCCAGGGAGGCATGTGTTTATTAAATCTGATCTAGCCAGGCATTGTGAATTCTCACAATTTTCCTCTTCTTGGTCTGACTTTTGCAGTGCAGAGTTTTTTATTTCAAATTTATTTCATACCTAAGACTTTTTTTGGTATAATGTTTTGAAAATTCTTCCCAATTTTGATGTCATATGGACAATCTCCTTAATTTTTTTTATGGATAGATTTTTAATATATCTAGGATTTATCTTTTTTGTCTTTTATCATGTACTAGAATAATTTTATTTTATTTTTTTATTTTTCATCTGGAGAGCTGATGGTCTACTTACAGTGCACTAGTCATAACTACTAGTCACCTTACCACTCCTGACTTCAAGGCTGTGGGGAAGTATAATCGCCCGTATAATCAGAAATAAAAAGAACGTTACTATTGTATATCACATGTTATATCAAATCAATCATTTTTTGATACATGATGCCACTTTTATAATAGGGTCATTTTCTAATTTGCATTTAGAGGTTAAAAATGTATTTATAGATCCATCATTTATAACATTTTTCAACAAAAAAATACATAACAATTTTAAACCAGAGCATTATAAGTGAAATTCTGTTATCTGGTAATGGTTTTGTAGATAAAACCGCATTATGTTTGTAAGATTTTCATCTGAATTTTGAAAATTGACAAAAATACAAAGGATTAGAATCTAATCATACACCAATGGACACAATATTTTAAAATATTTTTAAATGTCAATTTCAGAAGAACTATCAATAGCATAAAATACATGTATTCCCTTTGACTCAGCAATTATACTTCTAAAAATCTATTCCAAACCAAAAATTGTATTTATGAGTAAACGTTTAGCTATGGTGTTACAAGACAGTGATGTCTGTAAAATAAATTGGAAACTATTAAGAGGTTAACAGTTGTTATCTTAATATAGAATTATCAAGAATTTTCAATCCTGTTTTTACTTTTTTCAATTTCCATACTTTCAAAAGTACATATATTCAGTATTATTCAAAAAGTTACTTTTAATTTTCAAAATTCTCTATCATCTGTTGGAAAACAAAACTGCATTTTATTTCTTGGACACAAACATAAACACAGACTTTTTTTAAGAAAATAAAATTTAAAAATATGTAGCACTGTATGGTATGTTTTGGATGCTCTGAATTTGAATGTTATAAGTTCAATAAAAATGCTAAGTCAAGAAGTATTCTAATTCTATTCTTTTGAGACAAAGACAAAATGTAAAAAATGTGACTGCAAATTGAATTTACAAAGTTCAAATGTAGAAATTACATATAATGAAAATAAGTCTATCTATTAAAAGTTATTAAATACTTACTAAATACTAGGCAATATAGTTTGCATGAGTAGCTCATTGACCTTTCATAACAATACTGAGATTTTAATACTCCCATTAGTTTTACAAATAAAAAAAAGAAAGAAAAATCCAGGGTTTTCTTGAGGTGTCTCTAAAAGGAATAATTCCAGTTTTTAAATATTAAAATTGATCAGTCTGCTTGATTAACCACTATTGGTATACAGTTTACTAATTAGGTTTCATATGACATTTTAGACATCATGTTGCCAACAAACTATCCCACATATATGATGATAATAACTTGTGATACCAATCTCTTGAATAAAATAGAAATAATATAAAAGACATAAATTCAATTTTTTGGCAGAAAAAATTTTAACTAAATCTATTTAGCCTAAAAAAACCACGCAAATATATAATGTGAGGAGGTGGGTGATATATGGTATTTCAAATAATATGAGAAGTAGGAAGTATAATACTTTGGAGGCAATACTTGAGAGTACTCTGCAACAATGCCCAATAGTACAAAACAACAACAAAACCACAAGTTGTAATTCCAGAGTTAACAAAGAAAGAAAGACAGAATCCCGAGAGAATAATGGTGACCACCTAATTCTAAGAGCCAATCCTTCAAATTAGAATCCTCCAAAATCCACTCAGAATAATCAGAGCACAAATAACCTTCCATAGTATACACCCTGAGTATACCCATGAGAAAGAGGATAGCACAAATTTCACTGTGTATATAAGTGAAAACAATAATACCCAGAACAGGCAGAACTGGCTGAGGACCCCAAACCAGAGTAAACAAATGATTGGAAAACAGATCAAAATATGTGTCATTTATTAAAAAAAAAAATACCAGACAAACTACAGTAAAAGAAAATTAAGGAAGATAATTATTCATACAAACTTCTTTTCCATCTGAAACAGGATCATCTGGGTCCAGGAAAATCCAAATAAATATTTTTAAAAAAGAAAAAAAGGACAAAATACAGTAAATTAAATATACTGAAAGGAAAACAAAATAGCTGATTTCAGGTAGGGGGAAGGGACTCTATGGTCACAGCTTTCTGCTGTGTCATGAGGCAAGAAAACTTAGAGATTAGTAGGAGCATTTCCAAAGAACATAGAAAACAGCTTGAAGAGGATTCTATTGAGAAAATTTGGGAAAATCTATCCATCAAAAATGACTGTGATTGATAGCAAAATATTGAATTAATATAAATTCATGTATATAGAGCATTGATTAAAAAGTAGAGAAAGAGAAAGTAAGAAACCTATCTACCAAAATTAGAGGTGATCACTGCATCATCTGATTTAGAAACTGGTCTTTGAAAGAAAAGTATTAAGGTTTCCTGCATTTCCAGGAGGAACTGTATTTCATCCACATTTAATGACTGGTATTTTCAGATACTGGACAACAGGCAGCACAGGGCAACGATCTCCGAGGGAAAGGAAATGAAAGAAGTAAATGCCAGGATTTTTCTAGTTTGTTGCCAGAAGGCAGTTTTCAAAAGCCAGGGCAGGAAATTGATGAAAGAGTTTGAAGAAGTCACAAATAAAAAGATAACCTCTGTTCATGTACTGAAAGAGTTAGTATCAATAAAAAGCCCATATTACTCAAATAGATGCAAGAGATTCAATGCAATGCCTATCCAAATTCCAATGGCGACATTTTTTATAGAAATAGAAAAAAAATTCCAGAATTTGTCTGGTGTCACAGAAGACCCTGAAAACCCAAAGCAAACATAAGAAAGAATAACAAAGCTAGAGGTATCACACTTCCTGATTTCAAACTACTGTATATTACAAAACAATAGTAATCAAAATGATATGATACTGTCATAGAAACAGACATGGTTCAATGGATAGAATCAAGAGCTCAAAAATAAGTCCACACATTTACAGTCAACTAAATATTTGACAGGAGAGCCAAGAATACTTGATAAGGAAAGGATAGTCTTTTTAACAAACCATGCTGGGAAAACTGGACAGCTATATGCAAAA